GAACTGCCAAAATGCCTCCCATTTTATGGACAGGCCTGGCTCACCCTGAAGACATTCCACGTATTTAATCAGCAGTCCATGGTACATATTGGGTTGCAGAGGAAGCCCTCAGAAGCCGGCCTTTTAGGAGACAAAACTCAGCCAGAAGAAGGAGCTGGCCTTCTCCATGGACCAGGCCGATGCTCGACAGATGGAAAAAGTGCATCCCAATAACAAGGATCAATAACCAAAGGCTGACAGCTGCAGAGACCTGGCCTGAGGGGCCCCTAAGGACTCAGCTCTGCCTCTTTCCCACACCAGACTGAGTCCAGCCAGGAATCTATCTCACCCACCTCCCTGCACCAAGCTCCGGGAGAGCGAACGAGCGAGGGAGGAACCATTTTTCACATACTTTCTCTTTCAAAATGTAGCCCTGTTTCGCAATTTCCTACTTAAGTTCTGGAAGGCTCTGGGGCAGAACCCAAGCCACCTTCTCTAGCCACTGGCCTGGGTCTCTTGTCACCAAGAACCTGGTAGGCTAGCGGTGACAGAGAAAGGAAGGGGCCCAGATTTACTAACTCTCCCTCTGTCCCCATTCATGCTAGCTCACCCAAGGGTCTACTTAGTGCAGGTCTCTCTCTCTCTTTTTGGTAGGGACAAGGTCTCAGGATGTTGCCCAGACTGGTCTTGAACTCCTGGCCTCAAGCTGTCCTCCTGCCTCAGCCTCCCAAAGTACTGGGATTAGAGGCATGAGCCACCACGCCTGGCCTCACATTCTTGATGCTAAAGGAGCTTCAACCAAGCCTCCAGCCAAAACCTGTTTATTGTTCCCCGTGTGGTGGCTTTCTCTTGGGAGAGCCAGGAGGTGTGCCACACCAAAGCAGGTGCACCCAACCCTGGTATGCTCACGTCTCAGCAACCCCTGAGGCACCGAATCTTCAGATCTTCTCTACTCCCCTATAACTAGGCTTTTGTTCTGGCTCACTTTTACTGGCAGTACTAGACAGTATTCCAGCCCTTTTGCAATGAATCCATTTAGTCCTTAAAAATGAAACCTGTTCTCTCTGATTGTTTTCCTCCTACCTTATCACTGTTCACTTGAGTTTCCACCTGTTGCCCATTTAAATCTTGTCTGGACCACAGCTGGAGGAGTGAGATACAAAAAGCCAGCACCTGGGTTGCTGGCCCTGCATCAGGGACTTGTAATAGAGCCCAAGAAGCTGACCCTTTCCCTAAATTCCCTCTCAGTCCTCCTACACCAAACCAAACAAACCAGAAAGAAAAAAAAATCCCCACTTAAGTAAACAAATCCAGAAAACACAACCCCATCACCCAAAATATTGAAATGGAAAACAAATCTACACTCTGGAGATTTGATCTGAAACATACCAGAGCTGGAACTGCATACGGTGGCCAGAAATGTGTTAGTCTGGGCAAATCTGTGGCCCTGTAGAGGAAAAAGCTAACATTTTCCAAATAACAATGTGGGCACGTAACAACCACATACAATCATGTGCTGTTGTTGCCTAAACCTGGAAATAGGGTTAGGCAGCTCTACATCTTGACATAGATTCCCTCTCTCCAGCACTCACTCATCCTAAAAAGCACAGGGTGTGATGTCTGGACCAACTCTGGGCTATTCTCAGCCCTTATGGTCTCTGCCTCAGGTGGGCTGCTTCTCAGGTTGTGAGCAGGTTTTGAAACACACATCCCTCTCCAGCTCAAAACAGGACAGGGTGAGACAGATACGAGTAGGTCCAGGTGGGGCTAATTGTTTTTTTGGAAAGTACTGGGATCGCATCTGAAAGCACCCAGTGTATCAGTATCAGGTGATCTTGCCAGTAATTCTGCAGATGTAGAAGCTCAAGTGTGGGGTGTACATCAGTGGATTCAGGACTTCCTGAAACGCATACTATGTACCTTGTCTTAGCTGCCTAGGACTTCAAGAGCAGCTTTAGGTGGCTCAAAGATGTGATGTAGAGAAGCGGGATGGCTCAGAGCATCACAGAGTTGATGGCAGGAGATACTGGAGGATTCAGCTCATTCTTTGATGTTGCTAAGATTCTGAATTTCTGCTTTGATGTTGGTGTAGAGGAAAGCTTATGACAATGCTTCTCAAATTGTTAAATATCTGCACAAATTTCCTAAGGGATCTTCCTACAAGGCAGATTCAGATTCTTTAGGCCAAGGTCGCTGGTCCATGACCACACTTTGGGTAGCAAGAGCCTAAGGGTCAGGGACACATCAGAGCCAAAGACAGCCAAGACATACTGGGACTGAGGATTGATGCCCCAAAGTGAGAAACAGAAGGACAAAGAGAATCAATGGTGCACAAAAATAGAGTCAGAGACTGAAGTGGGAACAGAGAAGATCAGGGTGACAAAAAGAGGGACTGAGAAGACAGAGTTAGAGACGCAGAGAGGGGCAAAGACAGAACACAGAGATGGAAGATGGATGACACAGAGAGACTTGCAAAGACACAGCCAGGGTCAAGGAGAGGAGACAAGGTAAAGAGTGAGGGAAGAGGGGCTGGGGTTGGCTGTGGACAGTTTGTGACTGGCAGTGAAGATCACAGGTGTAGAAGGGACAAGACCTGCAGATGCACAGACATGAAATCCCCCACTTTCCTCACCTCCCAGCCTTCCCACACCTGCATCACTCTCTCCTTGCTCCTGCAGAGCAATCCCTCCCAATGGAACCTTTCACTACTGATTTCCCCTTCTCTTGCCTGTGTACTCAACTGCTTTCTCTTAAGTGCAGCCCTCCCAGAAGGTTTTAAACACCATCAAGTCTTTCCCATTGAACGAAAAAAGGTCTCTCTTGACTCTCATTTCTTTCTAGCTCCTGTCGTATTTCTCTTCCTCTTTTTCACAGCTAAGGAATTGTCTGCTTCCATCACCCTCCCCAAACACTGCTGCTAAGCTTCTGTTGGCACACATGTTGCTGAGTCCAACAGTCACTTTCCAGTCCTCTTTTGCTTGATCTCTCCCTCCTTCTTGCTAGCTTCTGGGGCCTGATATTCCCCTGGATTTCCTCTTGCCTGCTTCTCCTTTAACTCACTCTTGGTGATCTGATCTTTATATTTAGAGGGTCTTTATATTAGAGATGGGTCCAGACTCCTCTCTTCACCCAGTGCTGTCTTTTCAGTTGACCTCTTCCAAATCCACAGCCTCGACTGCCTTCCATACACCAGTTTACATTCCAGCCTGAACTCTGCCTGTACAACTAAACCTGTGTTTATGTCTAAGCAATGTCTGCTCACCATCTTTACCAGGATGTCTCAGAGGTACTACAAACTCAACGTGGTCGAAACCAGATTTATATTCTTCCTTCTTCTCCCAAACTGGTCTTCCTCGCAGGTTTCCCATCTCAGAACACAGCACTGTCATCTGTCTGGGTGTTTGAGTCAGAAACAGAGATTTCGTCCTTGATAACTCCCTCCCCGTCTCTCCCCTCTTCCACATCCAATGCATCACCAAACTCTGTCAACTTTATGTCCCAAATACCTTTTGATTTTGCTCACTTCTCTCCATTTCCACTGCCTCCACCCCAGTTCAAATCTCCAACATCTCTCACCTAGATGACAGCAACAGTCTCCTAACCAACCTCTCCCTAATCTGTCTTTCAAGCTACAGACAAAGTGATCTTTGCAAAATGCAAATCTACTTGTTTTGGCCTACTGCTTAAAACCCTTCAGCAGCCTCCTTTAGCTCTGAGAATAAAGGACCAACTCCAGGCAATCTTTCTAGAATCTTCTGAACTCATTTGCCCTCGAGACCTTCCAGCTATACTGGCTTTCTTTCAGTTCCTTGGCCAAACTACTTTCTGCTACAGGACAATTGCATATGCTGTGTCTGTAGAACTGTGCCGTCCAACATGGTAGCCACTGGCCACATGTGGTTATCGAGCACTTAAAATATGGCTAGTGCAACTGAAGAACTGAATTGCTAATGTTATTTAATTTTAATTGCCTAAATTTAAAATTTAAAAACATACATCATTCAGTTACAGAAAAACTGCTAAGTGTTCTCAAAACAACTTGGGTATGTGTATCTTCTTTTTCAACTTTAGTTTTTATGCAGCGTAATTACAGATCAGGTATTTCCGGTGAAAATTTAGCATCCAAATTAAGATATGCTGTGAGTGTAAAAATACACATGGAATATTGAACACTTGGTTTTAAAAATGTAAAAGATCTCACTAATAATTTTTTTTACCTTGATTGCATGTTAAAAAGATAATACTTTGGGGCCAGGTGCAGTGGCTCATGCCTATAATCCCAGCGCTTTGGGAAGCCGAGGCAAGACGATCGCTTTAGCCCAGGAGTTCAAGACCAGATTGGGCAGCATAGTGAGACCTCATCTCTATGAAGAAAAAAAAAGATAATACTTTGCATATATATAGTTAAATAACAGATGTAATTAAAATTAATTTCACCTCTTTTTCCTTTTTATACTGTGGCTACTACAGAAATATTTTCTTTTTTTATTACTTAATTTTTTTTTGCACACCAAGCTGGTCTCAAACTCCTGGGCTCAAGTGATCCTCCTATCTTTGCCTCCCAAAGTGTTGGGATTACAGGCGTAAGCCACCCTGCCTGGCCATTTTTTTTTTTTTTTTTTTTGAGGCAGTCTAGCTCTATTGCCCAGGCTGGAGTGCAGTGGCGCGATCTCGGCTCACTGCAACCTCCACCTCCCGTGTTCAAGCGACTCTCCTGCCTCAGTCTCCGAGTAGCTGGGATTACAGATGCACACCACCACACCAGGCTAATTTTTGTGTTATTACTAGAGATGGGATGTCACCATGTTGGTCAGGCTGGTCTTGAACTCCTGACCTCGTGATCCACCCGCCTCAGCCTCCCAAAGTGCTGGGGTTACAGATATGAGCCACCGCGCCTGGCCCAAAAATGTTAAATTAAATATGTGCCTCACATATTTCTACTGGACAGCAGCAATCTGTCTTAAATCCTTCTACCCATCCTTCAGAGTTAGGCTCAAATATCACATCCTCTGAGACACCTCCCTGAGAGAAAGTATTTTATTTTTATTCTGTTTTATTAACTTTCATAGCTATGCACAGATGCCAGTGGTCGCCTGCCCTTGGCACCATCCTTTTGTAGTTACATATGTGTTTGTACGATTCCTCGATGCATGCCTATCTTCTTCCCCACCAACCTCTAAGCTCCACAAGAGCAAGACCTGTGTTTGGCTCCTCCCTGGAAACCTAGCACCTGGTCCAGAGCCTGGCACACACTTCAGAATGCCACAAGGAGTTATTCCATCCACTGCCCTGCCTTTGGGCAGGACTGTCCCCAACCATCACTGGAAGCCTATGCACTCCCTTCCCCCGGCAGTGCCACTAGCCCTTCCGTATATAGATTCTGCCTCTCCCAGATGGAAAGTCCTCCTTTATAGATGACCAGAATCCCTTCCTGCTGCAACATGGCCGGGGCCCTTTCTCCCATCCTTTAAGGAGAATTAGAGCAGCACTTCTCACATTTATATAACACGCCAATCATCAGGAATCTTGCTGAAATTCAGACTCTGGCTCACCAGGTCTGGAATGAGACCTGAGATTCTCATTCCTAACAAGCTGCCCTGTGACGACACTGCTGCCGGTCCATGCTCTGAGTAACAAGGATATAGACTGCCTGTTTACCACCCTCAGAGCAGCCCCTACATTTTCTTCCTTCTCTGCACAATCCTCTGCTGAGCAGGCTATTTGGGGTCTCTTGAAATTCCCTGCCTCTTCTTGCTCCCACGCATACCTTGCCAAACCCTCACACCCTGCAAAGGAATGTGGTGCCTGTGTCTACTGCTGTCGTTGATTTTTTTTGTTTTAATTTGAAATAAACCTTTAAGGCAGTTTTCAGAGTCAGGTTAGCCCTGATACGTATCATGGAAGAGTAACAACACTCTCCAACGATAAAGTCACACAGCTGGGAGTGCTGAACGGGATGGGAAGAAGGCTTCTCCCCAGGTCACCAGCAGTCCTCAAGCTTGGCTCCCATCTGCCACACTAGCTAGTCCAATCCCAGCAGCTTCTCCAGAAGGCTTCCCTCTGCAGTTTGGTCTCAGATGCTGGAAAGTGTTGTCTCTGACACGGCCACGGCGAGCTCCGGAAGCCAAGAGTGTACTGCGGGACCCGAGGGATGGAAGTGTCTTCTGGTGGCCTCAGGGGGGGGTGTGTGTGTGTGTGTGTGTGGTATCTGTGTGTGTGTGTATACATGCACACACATGTGTGCAAGTATGTGTGGTTGTATATGTGGATAGGGGTTTGAGTGTGTGTGTCTTGTGTCTATGTATGCATGGATGGATTGGAGCGTGTGTGTATGCTTTGCCCCCGATGTTCCAGTTCAGGAAAGCTTTAATCACACAGAGCAGCACTGAACTCTTTCTGCATGGGCCTGGGGGCTGGACAGTGTCCCTAGGCGGGCCCTGCAGATGTGAGCGGCCCCACCGTCCCTTGCTGCTGCTGCTGCTGCCCCTTGCGTCTTCGAGAGCCAGTGCCCGCCTCCTTGCTCTCCTTCCTGGCCAGGTTCCTGTTGGCATTCTCCCGCCGGCCCTGGCCTCCCTTCCTCCTCTTCTGCCCTGAAACAACCAGACAGCAGGAAGAATCAACAAAGGATGTGCAGGGAGCCCCTGGGCATGGCCACAGGCCCTAGGAGGGGAGTGTGAGGAAGCCGGAAGGGGAGGCAGGGAGGAGGCTGGAGATGCTGCCTGTAGGTAGTTGGGTCATGGTGACCTCCTCTGACAGCAGCCACTTCAGAGGACCCTGAGGCATGAGCACTGAGAGGCAGCCCAAGAGCCCTTTCACTCCCCAACCCTCAAGGCACACAAGACATCATCTTCTTCCTCATGGGTTCCTCAGATCTTGGATCCCAATGGACCAAGAGCACTTACCAGGTATTCAGTGCAACCCTCAGAACAGGCAGGACTGCCCCCATTCCCTCCCCGACACCAGCCACCTCTGGGGTCAGGCAAGAGCAGCAGCCACCTCCTTGCCAACTGCAGGCTGTGTGACTTTGGTGGAATCACTACAGCTCTCTGGGTCTTAGTGCCTCTTTCGCCCACCCATCCGGCCTCTGAGGGGCCTTCTAGTATGAACATCCACTAGCTCAGAAGAAATGGGGAAACTGGAAGGATATTGACCACAGAAGCTTCCAGCTTCCACCATGCAGAGTTCCGGGGCCCTGTTCTCTGCCAGGACATGGCATCTGGATTGGACAGCATGAGGTCTTGAGTTGTGGGTGCCCCATCTGGCCTTGCCCTGAAGCTTTCTCCTGAACCATGGGCAGGAAGCAGAGATGGTGGGACCTGCCATGGCTGGTGCCTGAGCGCTGACCCCAAGGGAGCAGAGGCTGCAGCTCACCCTCAGGACATGGCACCCTCCTCACTGTGCACCTCCGGGTCTCCTTGGTGTCAGAGCAGGCAGCATGGTCCCCTCCAGGGGCATTGAGAACCCTGCGTGTCCGCTCCTCGGAGCCCCTCCGGAAACCACAGAGCTTCTTCTTCTTGGAGCAGGGCCCCCATGGTGACCATTCGCTCATTTCACATTGCGCTGGCAGGAAGAGAAGGGAAGGGAGAGTAGGACAAGGAGGAGGGGATCAAATCTCCTCCCCTGGTCCGGAATAGCCCAGGGGAGCATCTCCCACCTGCCTTCTGCCTGGACCTCAGGCTGCAGGTATCTTTAGTCCAGAGGGCAGAAGAGACCCAGAAAAGAGTGGTAGGGTAAGCTCTCCCTGCACAGTACCCAAGCCCACCCACTCTCTGGCCAGACCCTTACCCAGCCCCTCCTCCTAGGGTCCTGGACCCTCTGCCCACAGTGCCTGCCATGGCTTACCAGGACTACTGCACTCCATGGTGCCATTGGCAGCTGAGGAGCCCTCGGGACAGGCTGGATAGCAGCGGCCCTTGTGCAGGTACAATCCCTCCTTACACTTAGTGCAGAAGTTGTGGCTGAAGCAGGCCTCACAGTGCTCGATCTTGCATTCTGAGGAGAGGACAAATTGGGGGCTTCTGGCCCAACCTAGAAGGAACATTTTCCCTCATTCCCAGCCCCAACACCCTCCCTTCTGTCCACATCCACCTACATGGAGGGCAGGACCCTGGCCTAGAGCTGCAGTTACTGCAGAGGAATCTCAGGAGGAAAAGGAAAGGAAGGGCAGTGGCAGGCCAGGGAAGAAGAAGGTGAAGCGGCTGCTCCTGAGGGCTGGCTGGGACTCTAGCCACCGTCAGCCAACTCGAACATGAAGCCAGTCTCAGCCCCTGGAACCCAAGGTGAGGCTCAAGAGAGCAGTTTCAGAGGAGGAGGGTGGGGCCCTCTGGGCTTGGTGGGGGTGGGACAGGAGTGTTTCAGCATCTCACAGCATCTGCAGGGCCACCCTAAACAGAGTTGAACTGAGGGGCAGAATGGCCCCCCAGAGAGTGGCTGTGTGATCTCCTCTTCCCTCATTGCTGGGCATCTACAATACCCCAAACTGTGGTTCTCTTCCTGCCTGGGGCAGAAAGAATCAGCACGGAGGAGGGGGAAGCCATCCTATGGCAAATTCCTCTCCCTCTGCAAGGCTGAGTTCCAGGAACCGCCTTGGTAGGACTCCTGGGTCCCTCCCTGATTCCCTGCTGCCAGTTCTCTCCTCTGGGGGAATGGGAGCAGGGTGGGTCCTCCAGGGCTTGGCTGAAAGCAGGCAGGGTCTTTCACAATCTCTCCTTCCCAGAGTGCAGGCGGGGCTGACTTCCTCCCAGGCTCTGGCACCTGAAGCCCACGCTGCCAGTTTCCTAGGAGCTGGTGTAGCCAGGAGCTCCCCACCCCAAGGACCCTGAGGACCAAGAGGGTAGCTCCCAGGGTCCCACCTCCATCCTCACAAACTCCCACCATCCTCCAGGCTTATCTCAGCCTCACCTCTCTCCTTCCCTTCTTCCTTCCCTCCCTGGTGCTCTGATTCCTGGGTTTGGTTGCCAGTCAAATAAGAACAAAAATAAGGACAATAGCAGCTACCATTTGTTGAGTGCCAGACACTAAGGGCTTTACCTGCGTGTCTCACAACAACCCTAGGGGGTAAGAACTCTTAAAGATGAGGCATTGAGAGGTGGAGACGTGCTCAAGGTCACACAATGAAGAAGTAGCAGAGTTGAGCTCAGAACCCAGTCTAGTCTTGGACCAGTCATTTACCTTCCGGGCCTCAATGTTGTCAGCCCTGAAAAGGGTACCATCAGTTGTGTCCTGTCCCCCTGCCAGTGTTGTTGTGAGGCTCAACTGATATGAGACCTGCAAATGCATTCTAAATGGCAAGGCACGGAACAGGTGGTGGGGGCACTGGCATTGTCTCCCTGAGTGTGTTCACACGTGTCCCCCAGCACACCGCAGCTGCAGCTACAGAGAAGGGATGGAGATATGGCAGCGTGTGCCTTGGAGCACGTGGAGGTGTAGCTGGTGTGGAAATGAGGAGCCAGAAGACCAGGGAGCAAAGAGAGTGGAAGAGCAGGCTGCCTGAGCTTGGATTCCCCTGCAGCCCATGTGGAGCTAACAATGGTTTTTAAGCAGAAGTGTGATGGGATGGGTTGTATGTCTCAGAAATGTGATGGGATAGGAATAGGTTCTGTGTCTCAGAAGTGTGATGAGATAGGTTGTGTATCCCAGAAGTGTGATGGGGTAGGGTGTGTGTCTCAGAAGCGTCTTTCTGGCTGCAGTGCAGAAGGTGGGTTTCAGGGAACCAGATGAAGGCTGGAGGACAGATGAACAGGCTATTGCAATGATCCAGGAGCAAGGTGCTGGGAGCCTGGGGAGGACAGTGGCAGTGAGGACAGACAAGAGATGACAGACAGGCTCTGATGATTGGATGGATGGGGTGGGAGAGGTTGGCACTCAGGGCTGTGGCTTGGGTGGCAGGTTGGGACATGGAGGGTAACCTGTGGGAATACAGGTAGGGGCAGGTGCGAAGGGAGGAGACAGGGTTCCAGTATTTACACACCAAGGTGGAAGTGTGCGGCTGGATACTTGAATCGGCGCCTCATCTCCTCTCCTCAGAGCCCCCTCTGCTCCTCTCACCAGCCACCAGTGGTTCAAAGCACTCTCCCCCAGTCCAGAGCTTCTAGTGCCCCCTGCCCCCGACAGCCCTGCCCACACTCACTGATGCACTTGTTCATGTCGGGGTTGCGGGCGTCAAAGTATCCAGGTGGGCAGGACGGCAAGCAGACGCCCACCTGGCGGATGTCGTTCCTCTCCAGCAGGATGAACAGCTTGGGCGAGCACTTGAGGCAGCCGTTGACTTCAGAGCAGAGCTCACAGCCTTTGGCACAGGCCTGGCTCCCCTCGGCACTGACTGCAAAGGTGGAGCAGGGATGAGAAGGTAGCTGTGGAGAGAACCTCACCTATCCAGATTCTGACAAGGATGGGAAGTGAATAGATCGGCGTTTCCTTCCACAGAAGGAATATGCTTCTCCGAAAGCACAGGCCAGGCAGGCAGCTGTCTACAAGGCTGCTTTATACACCTTCCCAGTAGCTTTTCTCCAGAGAGCTAGCAACAGATGCTGACCCATGTGCCTCCCTAGCTCCAGGCACGACATGAGCTCACTCTCTAGGCCGGCTCCACCATCCCCAGAGAAGCAACCCAAGCTGCACCCTTCCTGGAATTTCTCCACTCTCCCCAGAGCACAAAACAGTCAGCCTTAGGTATAGAAGGAGTGTTTTTTAAATATCCGAGAAAGTTTTAAGGGCAAGAGGGATAAAGAGTGAAACAGAAAAGGAACACCTACCCAGAAACACAAAGACAACTGGAATAACCTATGTCTAGAACAGGGGTCTCAACCACGAATGATTTTGCTCCCTAGGGAACATTTGGCAATGCCTGGAAACCTTTTTGATGATCACACCTGGGGAAAGGGGTTGTTACTGGCATCAGTTGGGTAGAGACCAGGGATGCTGCTAATCATCCTATAATG